AATATTGGCGGATTTGATGGTCGAGAGTGTTTGAATTTTAATGTTTTTTCTACAAATCCAAATCACTTGAAATTTTAGATGAATGTTCTTCTCATCAAACTGCACCTAATAAAAATTTTAAAAAATAATCTGTAAATTATAAATAACCACAATACCCTCAAAAATTTACAGGGGTATTTTGGTTATTTGTTTTCATGTAAAAAAAAATTAAAATATTTTTCGAACATTCACCTATTTTTTATCAACACACGTTTAAAATTTCAAGTGATTTGGATTTATAGAAAAAAAAAAGTAAAATTTAAATACTATCGGGCATATGTGATCATTAGATCGGCCAAGATTCAATTTGAACCATTGGGCTCATTTTTTCCTGTGAGCTAATGGGCTCAACCTAGCATCTTCTTATTATATATTATTATTATATATAATATATTATTATATGTAATATAAGATACTTTTATATATATATATATATATTAAAAATAAATATAAAATGCAGTATATCATATATTATAGTATGTTATAAATATTATATATTTCTATTTAAATTATTATCTATGTAAATATAAATATAAGATATTTACCATATATCTCAGGAGTTGTCAAACACATAAACTATGAACTTCTTAACTTCCCATGGAGGTTATCAAACACAGAAAATATTAACTTCTTAAGTAACTTCTAATTTACAGCTCTTCAGTAACTTCCAATTTTCAGTTCATGTTTTTGCTTCCTGTTATCATACACGCCCTTATTCTTTTCAAAATATTGAGATTCGTTCTTTATTAAAGACCTAAAAATCCAATTTATTTTCTCTTTTTAAAATACTGGCAATTCTAAATTGGATCCCAAAATTTAAAATAGAGAACGTGCTTTGTAGGGATTGCAACCGGACCCGGACCCGACCCAAAAATTAAAATGTTTATATCTTTAACTATATTTAAATATATTTTATACATGAAAAAAGTTTATATAGAGCCAAAGTTCTAAACAAACAAATTAGAGCTCGCCTCAAAAATTTGACTAGAAGAGGTTGTTTTGATGCCTAAATATCTTCAAATTGATCATCTCGATATCAATATACATGAAAATGAGAAAAAGTGGATTTCAAGTTTTGAAAATAGTACATCTTGTAATGTATTTTTGGACCGTCAATTTTCAATATATTCAAGTTTTCATTGATCTGTTCAATCTATACCATTTTTTGAAACTTTAAATTTTATAATTAAAGATGAAAATATATTTTAAGACTATCACAGAGATTTATAGTATTGAAACCACATTTCTTGATACTATTTGAAGGTGTGTTTTCCTTTGAATGCCTATAGCCTCGGCTCTATACAAACCGCACCTTTTATATATTAGGACCCGATAAATATTATTGAACCCTCATCCGGACCTTACTGGACCCAATCGGACCTAGAACTAAGATTTGGACCCGACTGACCGGGTCCAATTTTTGGACCCATACCAAGACCCGGATCAGGTCTACCCCTCGGATCCCAGGTCCATTACTACCCCTAGACTGCTTTGAAAAGGTCTCCTAACTGAGGGAGTAAGCACATCGAGCGTATGCTATTGAGTAGGACATGATCACCAACCAAATGGTTGCCGGTACAATCCAACGGCTCACGAGAACCACGTCACAGAACTGCGATAGGGAGGGGGTAGGCATTCCTTACACGCGTGAACATGGAACACTTTATTCTTTTGATTTTGATTTTGATTGTGATTTTGCTTTTGCTTTTGCTTGTTGGGATCCGAGTCTAGCTCTCCACTACACTATGGCTCGGCTTTGGCCAGACCTGCAAGGGGGTATTACAGTAATTATGATTTTCCCCTTCACAAATGATTAAGTTATCCCCATAGGGGAGGCAATGGACTAGGACCCCACCCACTCCCTTAAATATTGAATACAGCGGGGCGGGTTTGGGTTTAAATTTTGAACCCAAATACTATTCGGGTATGGATTTTACATTATATTTTTTGGTTTGAATTTATGAAAGATATTTGATATATCTAAATATATAGATATTTTGATTTTTGGATTGAGTCTAAGTCCCACATTATAATTTTTTATCCGGGTATGATGACTTTGGGTCTGGTTGGGTTCGGGTGGCCGGGCCAAAACGCAACCCGAACTATTGCCAGCCCCACCCCATAATTCGAGCAAGCATTCTTGTTTGTTCTACCATTCCAAACCTCGATGAAGAGATTTTAAAAAATGTGCTTTCCATGCTTTTGGAACTTAAATCAAGCAAGGCTAATTTGTTATTCGACTTGGATAATTTAAGTCTTTAAGTAAAAATTATTAAAACCCAAGTCTTGAATGTGCGTTTAATTTTTCACTTACAGAGAGATTCATTTAGAGAGAGATGAGAGTTTGATTTAGATTTTAGAGGCGCAGGCAGCAGCTGCTCAAGTGAGCCGGCGTGTGGAGCTGCAAAAGTCTTTTGTTATAACAAACAAATGTATGCACACGCCTTCCTTTTATCCTTTTACTCCTCTCTCTCTCTCTCTCTCTCTCTCTAACATACCACTTCGCCTACGCTCTTTCCCTCTCTAACCATATCCAGATTGATCCTCAATCCCATGTGGTGGAATCATGCATTTCCAAATCCCGATAAATTTCGACAGAGAGATAGGCTATATATATATATATATGTATTAATTGTTCTGTACACTCATAGACTGGTAGAAAGAGAGAGAAGGGTCCTGTGGTAGAGAGAGAGTGAGGTTTCTCCATGGCAATATAGAGATGGCGATTTAGAAAGAATAGAGTGAGAGAGAAAGAGAAGATGGGTAGTGAGAGAAAGGGGGATAGAAACAATTACCTGATTATCCGACCAGAAAATGCAGGAATTGGTGATATTTACAGGTTTCTGAGGGCAAGAGAAGGGGTAAGGAGCACTCCTTTCCTTGAGACTTCATTATCAGATGGAGGAGAAGAAGAAGAAATGATGGGCAAGGACAACCGTTGGATCATAATCGTCTCCGTTATAGTCCGCAAGATTATAGGGTTTTTTGGGAAGCCCATGGAGTGGACTGGTTTAGTGGTGGAGTTTTTCTTGAATCTATTGTCTCAAAATGGGGATTTGCTCGGCCTCATCACTAATATCTTCACAGGTAATGTCTCTCTCTCTCTCTCTCTGTCAATTTTGACACCCCAACTATCATGCATTTTCTGGTCAGCAACAGGCCCGGTTCGGCCCGCTTTAGCTCTAGCGCCGGCCTCACCGGGCCTATCCATGGAGGCCAGAATCATTATCCCTCATTATATCATCAAATTGGTGAATGATTGTGAACTCTACATACAAAATATAAATAATCTTACCGGACCCACCATGGCCCAAACTTACCCTCATGATTGCTCAGGCCTTGGCTTGGCTTTCGGCCCAGCCCATTATCATTTTCCAAAGATGATGATGATGTCCCTTTGCTTTAAAGGGATATGTTGGCCTCATGCCTACACTCTATTACCTAATGTCTCTCTCTTTAATACCTTTCTCTCTCTACATTTTCCCTTGATTTTTTCTTATTTAATAATACTACTTTTTTTTTTTCAATTCTCAAGAAATGCTAATATCTAGAAATCACATACCAATGTCAAAATATGTTGTTGAATGGACGGTCCAGATCTGCAAAGATAACCATTTTGTCTTGATGAAACCCATTAAATCAGATAACATTGCGAAAATTACTAAATGCCTCAGGGTTTAGTGTTTTTCCCATAATGCATGCGCCTTTGAAAAATCTCTCGCACCTTTTACCCCAAAATAATCTCCTGTTGCTTTTCAGCTTAATTTGCGACGACAATGAACTTATTAATGACTTCTGTAGAAGACAAAAAAATAGTCATATCTATCTCTCTCCTTTTTCTCTTTCTAAGCCATCTCTGGTTTTATTTTCTCTCTTTAAACCACCCTCCAATTCATATTCATCTCTGGTTTTATTTTCTCTCTTTAAACCACCCTCCAATTCATATTCATCTCTGGTTTCTCTCTCTAGAGAGGTATTCAGATAAAGAAAATAATCTCTACATTTGGGGCTCGTTTCCTGTTAACGGGGTGATGAAGAATCTCTCTCTACATGGAAGGAGCCCCAAATGTAGAGATTTATACAATTATATTTTTTAGAGGGAGAGTGAGAGTGAGAGATACGAATATGAATGGGAAGGTTAGGGTGAAGATATATATAATAAAAATAAAAAAAGAGAGGGAAATATATATGTTTATTTTAATTTTTGTAAAAATCATTGATAATGATTTTTTTCATCATAAATTAAGCTAAAAAAGTACCTTGAGGGTCAGTTAAAAAAATTATTTTGGGGTATATGGATGCGAGAGGCTTTTCGATGGAAGTTGTTACGGGGACAACATTAAACATAGGGGATTTAGTAATTTTGCAATAACATATAATACTTGAACTTTGGTATAGAGAAGTCATAATCACGATCATCTATACGTAGGATGTAAATTTGATAGCTTGAGATGTGTAACAAAGTCTAAAAAATATTTAGGCTTTGAGTCCATGGTATACATAACCACCCGATTTTTCGTAAAGTTGATTGTAACTTCCTTGTACTGAAATTTGGGTCAAACTAAGACGTTAGTGAAATTTGCAAGTGGTGGAACACTAGAGAGAGAGAGAGAGGAGGGAGGGGAGATCATAATAGAAGTAGGGGTGGACAAGTCGGGACCCCGGACCCGACCGAGGTAGTTGGGACGGGTACGACCCAAT